CGCTCAGGCCTGTCAGTTATTGCCTGTGGCAGTAAGGACAGCCTGGGAATTCGTAATGTTGGTGACTTCATCTGCCAGCTGCATTCACACATCTTTACTACCTGAATAACTGATCTCCGCTACTCCAAGGCAGCACTTTCTGGTGTACAGCATTTGGGAATAAATATTTGATCATGCATACAACAGAAAAGAGCTCAGATGGTTTAAGGTGTGACAGCAGAAGTGTTTATTAAATTCCAAGTGAAAGCACTGCTGGACAGTAAAAATTTGTCCCACAGTCCCTATCTCACAGGCGTGGTGATGGACTATAAAAGATCCTTCACAGGCAGAGGGGAGGGAGGGAGGGGAGACAAACTCCCTCCCCCACAAAACCCAAGTCAATTCTTCTGTTCATTAAACCCTCTGCAGGCAACAAGCTATCTGTCCGTGACCAGCCAGTTGCACACAAAAGAAAGGGAAGTACTAAATTACAAGCCAATTTTAAGTGGGCATTGATTGAAGTAACCAGAAGAGAGCTTAGTATTGTCAGTGTTTCATACAACAGTAACAAACAATCTTCATTAAAAAATGATGTGTGCATCCCTAAGAAGCACAGCACATGCCAGGTTTCAGATAAGAACATAAAGGTTGCCCCAGTCCCACACACCATCAAAGAGGAAAAAAATGCTCAGGATCTTCTTTTTGTACAATTTAATTCTATTCTTTAAAATCCTTCCTGCTCCAACTTCTGTATCTGTCGTAAGCAAGACAGAAACAGAGATCTCCTCCAAGTAGGAAAGGAAAAGGTCAATGCAAAACAGAGATCACGGCAACTTCTTCGTCAACGTTCTCCTACTCCACTAGCAATGCAACGAAGTCATTACCGGACTGGTGGGTAAGTGTCAAAAACCTGTTTGTATGAGGGAATAAACAGGACTTTTCATAAACACACACACAGATGCACACACTTTTTTCTTTCACTGAGCAGGACTGAATTAACAGCTCTGACTGAGCATACCTGAGTACCTGAGCCCTTCAGCACATTTGTTACAGTTTAAGGGAAACGCTTGCCCTTACAGACTCAACGCAGCTGTGCGATCAAATTTACTGTGATCAGGAACTGCTGCAAAACCCTTTCTCTAGAGGTTTTCTATTTCTGAAAGTTCAGAGTTGTTGTTCCATACAGATATCCTAACCTTCCTACACCTTTTAATTTCTGCATTATTTATTACTAGTCCAGTTCTATCAAGTTTGATTTTTTGCGTATGTAACATATCTGACATGCATCATTCATCCACAGCTTATAGTATAAACATTCAGAAAGGTGGCTGGAAATATTCCATTACATCGCTAGCCTATGCTTATACTTTCTAGATTAGTCTCCATCATTCCGTAAATATCCTCAACCAGCTGAAAATCCTATCTAACGATCGTCACATCAAAGAAAGGAACAGCATTCAACGCATACAGGTAATGTAAAGTTTTCAAGTCATGTCTGTAGAGCAGTCTTCTGAAATAGAGTCAGGTCATTCAGCAACAAGTATTCTTTTTCGTTGCACTACAGATTTCTGTCTCAGGGTTGGTTGGTTTGGTTGTGTAAAGAGTGTGACCTTCAGCTGCAGCATCTCCTGCAGACAGGGCACTTGTAAGGTTTCTCTTCCATCTCTGATGTCTAATAAAGTCTTGAATGTAACCTGACTTTGTAAGACTTACCCCACCTTCATTAAACCCAATGCAACCAGCCGATAGCCTCGGCATTTCTCCGGGAAGGACGGACAGACACACACACAAACACATAAGCCTGCTTGCTACCCACAGTGTGCATTTACTATGTGTACAGTAGTGGTTCTTTTGCTGCATTATTTTTAAAGGCTTCCTGGCTTTATAAAGATTTAAACTCAGTCTTGTCCCTTTAACATTTTTAACTGCCAATCTGGAATAGCATCTGGAATTACTGTGCATTTAATCCTTGAGGGTATATTCTCTCTACGATGCATATGACTAAAATGTGTGCATTGAGGGACAAATGTCCAGTAGCTTTAGGTGACTACACTTTTGCAAACTTTTCTTAAAGATTTGATTTTTAAAAAACCAACCATAAAACAATAGAGAATACTATCTTAAGAGAATGTTAAGTCAAGATAACCATATTGAAATACGCACTTCTTTCATTTAACCAAGTAATCTTTACAGATACAGCAATCCACCTTGAAAATGCCATTGCAAGTTTTCATTATTGTTCCATTATTTCATTATAATTTCATTATTGATAACAGTATTAGAGTTTTGTACTTCTTAAATGAAGATTTTTGCAAATGATCTTGTGAGAGAATACTGCCATTAGTATACCATAGTTTTACAGACATGTGAAAACCAGGATTAAAAAAAATTACACAAATTTCTTATTAAATGCAACAACAGAGTTGTCACCAATGGGGTAGAAGGAAGGAAGCTACCAAGAATGGCAGAAGAATAATGGAAGACGATAAACATGTACTCGAAATCTTTTGATAGGAAGGAACAAGTGATGGAGTTAGATAAGACGAGGCGCCACGCTGGTTGTATCTCTAAGCAACCGGCAATCAAACAGCCAGATAAGCATCTTCATAAAGCGCAACAGACTCAAATGCATGGGTCATAATTGAAGAATCACTTCCTGGTTCAGCTTAAGCAGTAAAAATTTATGATCTACTTAAAAATCCTTCAAACCTAAAAACATATTTTCCAACAAATTTGTTTTCCATAAAGAATGTAAGCCATTTAGGGCATGCCTTGGTAATAGCAGGAAATGACAATACTTACAGTAGTGGACTATATAACACAAAAACCGCAATGTTGTACATGAACAGCATTTTAAATAAAACTTTTAGATTCACAGCTGAGCTTGATGTAATTTTCTGCACATCTCAAAGGTGGGAAGAGAAACAAGCAAGCATAAAATACTCTTCCCTTTGCTGGGCTGTTACAAGAATAGCACGAGATCTCAAAAAACTGTGCTTTTTTTCCCTGCGTCTCGTTTACTCTGTAGCAGAATTCATACACCTATACCATCACACATAATCTGGCATATCTACCTTAAATTTGGGCCAATAACTTCTGCATGGGAAAGGATGGGGATTAGGCAATACGAAAACCGCAAATAGATGGTAAAGTCCCTGAATCAAAAATCAATTCAAATCCAAACTCTCTAGCAGTGAAGTTAAATAAAATACTGCTATCAGCATGTCCCTAACAAAACCCATGTATTGTTTATAAGAAACTTATGAGGTGTTGTAACAAAACTGAGTCACTGTTGTACAGTAAATATATTTTCAGTGTCATAACAATGTATACAATTGACTTTGGCAATTTTCACGTGGACACATATGTTAAAGGCATTACCAATAGAGCTTCAGCACATTCACTTGAGCCATTTCATATTAAGGCCCCATCCACACTTCAGGAAAGGGTGCTTAGCATAGAAGAAGTACAGTCCTATGTGGTTCATTGTTTCTATTGTAGATGGAATAACAGAGTTTTAGAATGCATTATGATTACAGAACGGTTATATTTCAGAATTATTACACATCCCTGCTATATGTAATGCCAATGCCCTGTTCATACACAGGAAAAAAAAACACCACCCTGATAACCCAGATATCTCTACCTGCATCAGCTGGTGTAGTCACATTGATAGCGAAGAACAGCTACGCCATTAATCACTCCGAATCCGAAGTGTCAGATACACAGACAGAAGCACTCCTATGACTCAAGCTTGTAACCTTTTAGGGGTAATAGGCATAGATGAACTAGTCCAAAAAAAAAAAATCCTAACTGATGCATTTATGTTTTCTTCTGTATCAATTATTTTCAAAATTACTTTGTCATGTAGTAAAACAAATAAAATTTACTTTAAGTAACCAGCATCAGATGGTTGTCTAAGCTCAATGTGAAATAATTTAACAAGCTTTAAATATTTAAAAATGAAATTTATAATTACAATCCTCAATATCCAAAGTAAATGTAGTTATTATTGAACTCTGTTATAAACACATCAAAGAAACATCCTGTAATATCCAAATAAATTAATTTGGCAAACAATGCAGTCTCTTGGACTCAGAATTTGTACCAAAAGCAAACAGAGTCTGGAACAGGAGCTTTTATTTTAACTCTCTTTAAAACAACCTTCAGAAACGAGTTTCTGTATGTGTTACAGTCTCTTTTTACAGTTTAACCTCAATCCAATCAGCAGTCTCCAGGGATTTTCAAATCGCTAAAGATTAAAATCCTCTCTGACTTGACTGTTTGACTAATGCTGTGTGTTTAATAATTCTACTTGTGAGAGATTTTATTTGACAAAATCCTGCTGTGTGGACCCTTCAGATGCTATACAGCTGTACTAGAATATAAAGCTCTGCTGTCCTTGTTTCTTTATACAGACTATACCCCACCACTGAGAAAAAGAGAAGAAAACTTTATAGTTCATATATTACTATGTTGATATTAGCATAACCACTGTAGTACAAAATTTACACACTCTTTTAGAGTGGAGTAGTGAAAATGTGCCTATTACACAAACATTAGATAAACTATCCTGTTGTCTTGACTGTTCACAGAAATCAATTACATTTATGATTACATTTCAATGAAAGCTATTTTATAAATGAGATGGAACTGTAATATTCTATGCTTTAGGCTTTCATTAATAAAAGCATTTCAGTGTTAGTATTTGCAAATGTTCTGCTTTTTAGGTTAGACAGTTTTTAGCATTCTATAGCTCATGTTAAACTTAATGTAAATATTGCATTCGTATCTTACCACAATGCCATGACTTCAGATTTAAGTGGTAAGAGGAAAAAAGTAATCATTATGGTAGCTTTCCATAAGCAATTGTATAAGACAAAACTTACCCTGTTATGCAGTTGAAAATCATGATATCCTTTTAATTATACAGCAATGGTTAGTAAACATGTTACCAGACAAAAAAAAGATTGATGAATGCCATGATTATCAAAGAAAACATGAAGTCAACATGTTTCTACCTGAGGTAGCATCAATCACTGTTGAAACTCCTCTGCGATCAGAAACTGGACGTGATGACCCCGGCATGCTAACAGGTTCTGAACGAACTGGTTGAATCCTAAATAATAAGTTACAGTTACCACCTGTGTCAAAATCATTGCTCATGAGGGCTGTAATTAAATCACAAACCTGAATCAGCTGAACCAATTAAGCAACTATTTCTTTTTAAATCAGCCAACTGTTGAAAACTTCTGTTTTCCTTTGCTTTGCGGAGCCAAGATCTGGATAATCCGTCCAGAGACAGACTGAGACTCTACACAAAGTGAGTATCCCCAAACTGTCTCAGACCTGAGCTCTTCGAAAGCTTCAAAGGAAAATGCTCACCTTACCCAAACTGGTTAAAAAGCCTCTATCACCTTCCTGAACAGCAGCGTTTTCTTTGTCAGTTTAGGAGAAAAGACACAGTTGTAATTGTCTATTCTTTTCGTAACATATATCTATATTAATTTTTTAAAAATTTCTGCTTTCTTTCTGCATGTGTATACATACAATTAAAAAAAAAGAATATACTGGACGTATAAGTGGACATATAATTACATGGTAATTACATGCAGGGAGAAATCACACGTTTTAAAACCATGTATGTTCAGTCCAAGGACAATCTGCCCAGTTTTAAGGGGATTAGTCATATTATCCATCTCTCTTGTTTTACTCATAAGAGTTTCAGACAGAGTCCCAAAGAATCCAAGTCCATACAACAGAGCTTTGGACTTCAAATCACATGCGGAGTCAGAAGCATGGAAACTTGTTAAATCTTGAGAGTTACCGGACAGGACACAGAAACATTAGCTGCATAAAGCACTTCTACAAAATCACTAGCTATCAGTAAATATAAACCCACGTTTACTTTCGCTCTCCTTCCTTCCCTTTCCTAAGCCCACCCTCTGCCTCCACTTCCAAACCAGCCAATGTCCAAAAACAGATGAATTAAAGGCATGAAAAAGAATTACAAGAAAAGAAGCAGGGGGGGGTGGGGGGTGTCGAGAAGAGGGAGGGAAAAAACATTCCAGAAGTTCACTTACTGTTCCAACACACTGACCGCTTCACACTCAGCATCTAAATCTATGGCATAAAGCTCCCACTCATGTCTGAGAATATGAATTTATTTAGCAATGCAGAAATTGTGAAAGCCAAGACAACTCTGAGCAAGGCCACCAGACTTTGTACTGATTTTCACTGTCATTTACCCAAGAAGGGGCAGCAGAAAGGAATCCAAGCTGCTTGGCCTGGATGAAATTTTATTGTTGCCGAGCCACAGGCTCTTCTAAGACTTTCATCTGGACAAGCTCGATGAAAACTATTACACATTCTACACAGATGGCCTCATTTAAGCATGAGGCAAGTTATTCACACAACAAATGTGAAACAGCTTGGAAATTGATTTCATTTTTACCTGAGACTGTTGAGATCAAGATCATCTGTATCAAAGTCCAGAAGGGGCTGTGGGGTATCACTCGGACCATGCGACTGCAGCACTGAAGAGCTGGATGAAATGACGGTAGTTTGGCCCGAGGGATGGATTGTTTTGAACTGGAACTGTGGGCCCATCCATAGGCGTCGATGAGGCCCGGTGTGAGTCACTATTTCGACCTGTGGGAAGGGAATATGGGGAAATGCTTAACACAAAACTGCAACTTAATGTAACGAATGGTTACTTCAATACACTGAACCCCCAGAATTCTGCTGTTTTCAAGCAAAAAGTGTGTTTTGTGCCATCAGTTTGGAGGAATGCTCAACAATGGAAAATTCAGAACATCTTTGCTACAGAAAGGATGCTCCGGCCAAAGCCAAGAGCTTCTTGCAGAGCCTTGAAAGCCTGTGAACCACCAGCCCGAGGACATCGCACCCCAGTTCTTAAACTGTTCTGAAGACTGACATTTCATCCTGGCTATCTCTTCCCCTGATCCCTCCCCCTTGCCATTAACGATACATGTGCTACAACCCAAATGCTAAAAAGCTATCCTTGTGGGGTAACAAACAGGAGAACCCATTTCTGTCTCCATCTGCACAGATTAGGCAGAGGAACTGAAACTCTGCCTCCCCAGATAACCCCAATCCTGACCAGGCCAAGGGACGCACTTTTAAAAAGCAAGCTGTTACAGCTTTGTTACGGCTGCTTTCTAAAAGTTCACACGTTAAACAGCTCTGCTTCACATGTATGTAGTGCGAACTGTACTTCAAATCAAAGCTTGTCATTACTGTTGGCATATCTGAGCATACCGCTGGCAGAGACCATCTTGCTGGAAAGCAAGAAGATCTGTAACAGAGAGCAACGTGAAGTGCGCTGAGAGACACTGAACAGCCCAGGTCACGCTCACTGCTGTGCAGATGCAATATCAACGTTTATGTGCGACACACGGAGTTTAGAAGGGCAGCTACACACACAGGTATATATTCATTTAACCGAAATTCCCACCATTAAAACAGAGGTAAGGGTGTTTGCTTGCAATGAACAACTGCACATACTATACACTAAGTGTATATGAGACATGTATCCATATGTATGTTTATGTGTAGATATACACAGAGACACAGAAGCTTCACAGTTCTGTGCCTACTTCCAAAAGGCACAGAGAATACAAGTGGTGCGTCTAACAAACAATAATTTCAAATATTCAGATTTTCCTCTAGGTATTGGCTCCCACTGAGAGTCTACATATGAACTTTTGAAAAATAAGTTACTGAAATAATGAAGCATCCAAAATATTTTAAAAATGTCTTTTCACACTGATAACTATAAACCTGATGAGTATCAATTCTGGCAAACTCTTAACTAAGCCAACTATAGCAATGCAAATAACCACGGAAATTTAAGATGGTAACATTGTGGGAAACGTATTTGATCAGGAAAATTGGGCCTTCTAAATAAAAGGGTAAACAAAGCACAAGTCTTCTGTAATACAATTTTAAAAATAAAAAAGAGCCGTTAAAGATCAGAGAAGGGAAATGGGAAGTAAAAACATTAAGCTCTGGTAAACTCATACTTTTAAGATGACAAAACCAGATTATTAAATTCCTATCAATTTCTGCTAAAACAATGAGGAGCTTCACAGCAAAAATGCCATTTAGTGAGGAAATTAATGAAAACATACTTTCGTATATATATGACATAGATGTGTAGTAGTAGTGATTTTTCACTGTAAGAAGCAATTTGAAACACTGTTCTAAGTTCTCTGCTAACGTAAGATGATATGCACAGCCTGTTTAGCACTATTTCCATCTTTGCATTTATCTTAGTGTAACTCAGATTGACTGTAGACGTTTCTGAGGCAAGTAGCTTTTATGTTGCAGTGTAAATTAGGCCACAGATAAAGTAATCTGTATATTTTAAGCTTGAAACCATCAGTGTCACAGAGCCAAGAGGTAAACAGATGCCTTTGCAATTTTACTGAGGCTATGGCCAGATGTTCCTATTCACTCTCCTGTTGTGTGCAGGACAAACATATTGTATCTACTTCACACTGACAGCACACATTACCCACTGTTCTAATTGAAAAGTTGAAGTGAAGGGCAGCGTTTTTTCACTGCATGCTGTTACTGCTGATAACAACACTTTAATTTTGAAAAACATACTGGCACTTTAGGCTTAATCTAAAGTGGCTTGCTTAGAGAATGCGAGCATCTTCATGCTCAAAAGAGCTACCAGCACTCTTTTTGCTTAGCAAAAATTAAACGCTCCAGAAGCATTAATTGAATTATGTGTGTTCTGTGACATCACTTGGGAATTTTTTTTTCCTTATAAATATATTTACTGTTCTAGAGTAATATATGTGATGAAGTTCAAGCAGTCTTAAGTTCCTTTGACATCTTACATCTTCCAAGAATTGGTAATAAAACAACATCCATAATGTAGGTTTACCTTACTCTCTTTTTCCTGAGGTTGCCCACTATACCAGAAAGTCACCAGAACAGTAAAATAAGCTAAACTAGGCAAACAGCACTGGAGAGGAGAGGTGGAAAACTACAGGTGAAATCTTGGCCCCAGTGAGCTCAGTGATAAAATTCCTGTTGACTACGCTGGTCGAGTAGTTTCACCATCTTTATGCTCTGACAAATTAGACATGAGCATAAGCAAATAAGATAGATCAACGTGCAGCCACATCTGAAAACTTAGGCCACGTAAGTGGATTCACATGAATAGATTCCCCAATGAATGCTGCTCCCGGCCCGGTACATGTGGAAACCCAATTTCCCATTTTAGGAAAATACTCTGTGCAATTTATTCACCAGTGGGAGAAGCCAATCACATCCATGAATACTTCATATTTATGCCATACACCCAGCAACACATTTAATGCATCACTCCCGTAACAACATTGTTCTTAAACCAAAAGAAACCCACCTAATTTGTCAGGATGAATTCCGTATATCGGCTACCCTGTAATAACTTCGGTAAATCCAGAGCATTTGTATTATTCATCTATTTATTTAACTCTAACCTTTTATTTCTAACAGAAACTAATTCTCAGTGTAATATTAATGACCTACATTCTTAACCTGAAGTTATGTTTTAAGTCAAATAGTCAAGTATGTATTGAGTTCTTAAACAGAAGTTTCATTGACTGAAACAAAGCAAGAATGGATAAAACTACAAAGATTTAACTTCCTATAAAAATATTCCACCATGATCATTTTAAAGCACTGTAGTATTTGTATCTAGCCATAACTCAAAGGAATTATCAGTAGGAAATGCAGTAGCTGATAACCAGAAAAAGAAGGAAGTAAACCAGTTAATCTACCATTTTTATGTTAAAATGCAGTAAGTATAGCACAGGTCACAACTGAGAAGGCATCGTCGTCTTGCCAAGCCAACTTCCTTTATCCGTGTCTGAAAAGGATCATGTCAGGAGAAAAAGGTAGAGGGGTAACTTTCTGTTGACAACTGAAACTTCCTATACTTCATGCTGAACTTCCCAAGGATGTGACGAGGCAGTAATGATGGGCACTTTATATGGTTTTTAATATAGCCTGCATAGTTTGTTTGAAACAGAAAGACCATCAAATTCATACCATATTAAGTCAGGAGTGAAGTCAGTTTTACACACAGCAACACCCATGGCCTGCTGGAAGCTTACTTTCAATTTTGAGGAAAGTTGTGAATTTTACTTCCAGTGGATACTATTAGTGTTTCACTCCTGAACTAGAAGGCCCCCAGAAAGCATACCTGTGACAGCCACTCTTCATCCTCTTGCCCACTGTGGTCGGATGCTAAGCTGTCGTAGGACTCATGCCGAGTGATCGGTCCAGGGCTCCCTGGTGGAACCACTGAAAAAAACCAGAAAACTGAAAAATCAGACTTACTGTTAAATGCTTTAAAAAAAACTTTTTCAGTAAGTTATTGGTACACCAATGTATGTATTTTCCTAAATCTGTGACAATATGTTTGAGCACAGAAAGAGCTCAAATATTGACATCAAAAGTGATGAAAAGATTTCTGTTCTTTGACTTGAATGTATACATACAGCCACTCTGATAGCCCAATTGGCTCTTCTTTTAACCTTAAGTACTTAAGGAACACACAGAACAGCCCAATACAGATGACAACCATCTGTCCTGAGGAGTTTGACACAGAAATGCCACTGTCGATGACATAAGCCTTTTCTACAAACTTTTCAGAACTGGAACTGTGCTAAAGCACACTGACAAAAGCTATCCTGAGGCACTGGTATGTGTACTGACTTTGAACAGAGAGTACTTCCAAGACTTCATGAACTGTCCAGACACAACCTCCAAGAAGCCCATAACCTCCAAAATCCCGGACTGGACGTTGCTTCCTGCCACTACCACAGATCCAAGACTGGGTACATTTTTGGTTTGACTCAACATCAGATCTGTCCACAATGCTGATCTGCAAACCTTTTCTTGACAGCACAATGAAAATCTTACGTTACTATAACTGCTTAAATACCTAAGTCTCTACTGTTTTCAAAAGACTGGTACAAACAAATAACCTCAATTTACAGAAAAAGCCTAAGATAATTTTGTTCGTCTATTCGCTGCTGTCATTCGTCTTCATAGGGACTCACTACAACAGAAAAACGCAGCTCTGTAGACTGCATGATATCCAAAACCACTTTTAAAATGATTACCACATACAACTTTGGGGAAATTCACAATTTAGTATTCAAATGCTACCACACAAAAGAGAGAGAATCATGGACTCTTTATGGTAAAGATTAATATTTCATGATGCCTGGTCCTTGAGTTGTTTAAACACGTTAGCAAAGCTTAGTCTAGCTACTACTTTACTTTCTATGGCAGTAGCATTACGCTGCTCTAACTAGAACTTCACACTTGAGAAAGCCGAAAGAGTCTAGAAAAAGCCCAATGCAAGCAAGCGCCCCAGACAATAAGACAGGAGGTATTTTTCATTTTCCTGTACCTGCTTACCATCAGGGGCCTGTTGGAGGCCTGGATTCAATACCAAGAAACTATATCCACTTTGAGAGGACACCACAAAAGCAAATTAAAAGAAGCAAATGCAACACTGGTATTTTTGCTTTAGTAAAACAAGAGAGTTTTATGCTATAGCATTAAGATACCGAAAAATCCTAACATTAGAACCAGCATTTTTACATTCGCATAATCTAGCAATGCCTCAAAGTTTTTTCAAATTGATTTTTAAAAACTATTATTATTACAGGGTTGACCTTTATGTGACAAGTTTCCATCCACTACAAATTTTTACAGCCATGTTATAAACCCCTAATAATAGGAGTTTATAATGGCAAAGCAGACACAATTGTAACCATAAATACAGAATGGCGCCTCTATAATATATACAGCACAGGGTTTTCATAAATCCATATGCTATATGAAATAAAGGGATTTTCATCCTGTTTGTATAAGTCGGTATCTGAACTCAACCTCAGCTACGGAGCCATTTCTAACACCTCTGTATTGCAGAGCGTCCTTATTCTGAAACCTGCAATATACCAAATTCAGCTGAGGGCCTAACTTACTAAAGAATTATTCAAAGTGCTATATACATTAGGACATATTCTTACAAAGTGTCAAGTTTTTCCCATGAGATACTATGCATCTGCCATATTCATTGAAATCAATTCAATTTGTGCCTGCACGTACGTGTACATACACACCTTGGCAACCACGGACGTTATTACAGCAGTGCATGTTCATCAGGTTTCAAGATAATATAGAAACTACATTCATCTGCTTCATTACGACCGTGACAGATCTAATTCAATGACTTACGGATGTGTCTGTCTAGCCCATATCAAACTCTTATTAAGAAAATACACATACCTTCCTGGATTACAAACAGCTGAGGATTCACGGTAAATATCTGAATATGAAAGCATAATGCCCACGCTTCTTCCTTAGCAGTGAAGTTCATATTTGAAACGGACGAAACAAAAACATTATTTTGACACATTTTGCTGCTGCCCTAATCTTGCCCATATCTCCTGACTCCCCTACAATAAATTCTACTGACTGCAGCAATGGCTGTTTCTGAGGGCACAGCTGATCAACTGCAGGCTTTCCTGTTATTGAACTCTGCTAACAAACTGTTCATGACTCTAGCAGATGTTTCTGCTTCCAAACCAACAGGAACTTTATGGACTGTTCTGAATTTTTTTTTTGCTCTTTCTATCCCAGGGGCAACTACTAGAGCTGTCAAGACTAGGGAAGCTGCTGTTCAGTGACTAGCTGCAAAAATGCTAGCCCAGGGAACAGCATCCACCCTGCTTGGTCACTGTATTTCTCCCTCGTGTAATACTCTTACATTTCACTGGAGATTCAAATTTAAGAATAGTTTTGGTCCTATGCTGTACATCTTTTCCTGAGGAATCACAGCCTTGCATAGGTCTTGCAATAACACACGTTTCAGTGCAGCTTCAGAGTGCAGCATTAACTCTTTCTATCAAAAAAGTGACGACATGCTGAATTCCACGAAAAAGCTCTGCCTCAGAGTTCACCAGCAGGGCAACAGTGATAAAGCCTTAGCTGAGGTCAAATCTCAGTAATTTATTTTGCTATTTAATAAAATAGCATTTATGTACCACACCTATCACAAAAGCAGGCACTTAAGGAGAGTCTGGTTTTGATAGCAGGATCCCGTAATGACGGTCCCAGCCTTACCACAGGCAAAGCAAGCTCTACTCCCACTGCCCTTCGTGGGAGCACGCAGTGTTCTGTGAGATATGACCTTCGAAGACAAGTGATCCTTGCTGGAGATTTGCCATCGCTGTACTGCTTATTACAGATATACATATGGCCATTTTTTTTCAAGTTAAAAATGGCCTTGAAATTACAGGAACAAATACGTTCTGAAAAATGTACACCCAATTCTTTCTTTATTTCTGGGTCACACACCTCTTGCATTGGTATCAAGTTCCAAGACGAGATTAATTTAAGTCTGGAGGGACATTTCCAGGAATTTGAGCTCAAAAGCGATCTTTTATCTTCCAGCTTAATTCTTTGAAAATCTGAATTTACACTGGAAATTATGGCAGCCTCTTGCACATCAGTGAAGCTATTCCTGTGCTATAACACAAGAGTTTTTTTCAATTTCCAAAGAATTTCACTATAATGTAGGATAACAAATAATAAAATTCAAATTCTTCGAAAGCTTTGCAGCAAGTAGTGTTTTTTTTTACACTCCTGTAATTTCTCCTTCATTGGGAAAAAGTCACATATGGCTCACACATAGGCAAGGAGTGAGCAAGCCCTTGTTGCACAGAGATCTTTTACTGGTAATTGCAGGTGTTTTGTACCTTCCTAAAATAATAAATGCAGTGTTTTGTGTCTGAGCTATGCCAATTTCTAACTTTTTGCTATTGTTACACCAACATCTGGAACAAGCATATATCAACTATCAGAATACAACTGAGTTTGTTTTATCTAGAAATACACAAACATGCAGAAGTTTGTACTATTACCCACAGAGTGAAAAAATACAAAGAAAATCAGTGTTTATTAGAAAATCTAAGGTGAGAATTAGAACATACAATTTCTGTTTATGTAGTATAACAGGATATGAGTTTCTAAAGTCCACTTACAAATGCAAAAAACTCCATAAGCAACCATTCAAAGTCACTTTTTAAAAACTGGAGTGCTACTTACAGCAAAAAAAATCAGAGCTTTGCTATAAATATTCAGCAAGGGGCAAAAAACATCTTTGAGCTGTTCAAAAATAATGGTTAACACCTTTAATCTCTGTCCTCCTCCAAGTGAAAAGTGATCCGCAACAACTCTAAATCTGGAATATATTCCTGGCCCTCCATCCTCATCAGTGTTACTGAAGCACCCCACATTTAACTAAGGAAAAAGAGAATCTCAGTGAAAACTGTTGTTGTCTACTTTCATGACTTGAAAACTGTCATCTCATTTTCTGCCCTCAAAATCAAAGGTGCAGGTGCTTACCCCTGATCTAAGGTAAATTTTTACAGACTCCCTTCTCTGCAGTTACAGGATTAATCTTACCACTATATTGAAGAAAGATTATTAAAGGCAAGGGTCTGAAAAAAAACACATTACAAATTTAGTCATTTGTGTGATAATTATTAGGGTCCAGGAAAACTGCAGAGAAGTGACTGTGGAGACAAAAGCTTCAACACAAGCCAAAACGAAGGCTGAAATACAGCTGAGCTGATATTCCTCTGGAACTCCAGGACCTGAGTCACACAGTTCAATGATTAAGTATGGAAAAAAACCGACTGTGCTGAAACTTTGCCATGCTATTTAGTGACAAATAAAGAAAACAAACAATTTATATTAACCTCAAAAAATTTGCATAGGCAACTTGCACATGAGTAAGACCTAGACAAATACACATGCTTGATGAATACTGGAATTAACAAGCAGTGGTTTTGTTCATAGATGGGCTAATTATACAATAAATACCTAGACCTAAGACAAATCTTTATTCATTCAAAGATTATAAATTGTAATCTTTCAGCAGCATAGAAGTGTTGGAACAAAGAAACACTACAGCTCAATTGTAGTGTGCGCACTTATGGTTTTAATTTGTGAACAATAAATCATTAGTTTTACTTAGGTTTGTGTACTTCTTGAACCAAAAGGTTTTAATTTTCTCATTTATATAAATAAGCTTTACACAATTCAATTTAATTGAGAGTTATATATGAAATTCCCAATGTGCTCTTCTCTAAGGGATGTATGTTTGTCCAAATTAAAAGCAAAGGCATTTGCAGACTATAAAGACTATTTGTTCTGTGCTGCCTGCTGTACACATGCCTGCAGACACCCGGAGTGCTTTCCTGTATGTCAACGAAATACACAAAATTTATAATTTGAAATAGGATTCTAAAATCTAGTAGAAGCAGAAACAAGGTACTCTTAACTAATTCATTAAGTCTGAAGTCTATCTTGTGTCCACGTGCAGTCTCTAGTGATGTCCATGGCAAACAGGTATGCAGAATAAAAATTACATATCCCTTGGTTTCATACAAAGCACACACTAACATCTGATTTTGATGCTTTTTCTGTGGTTCCTAAATTATATCTAAAATGATCATAGCTGGTTTAGAGACCTGAGGTAATCACATGCTTGTCAATAAGTTTCAGGAGTACTTCTCTTAAAATTAAGCTCCACAATTCAAATGATTTACTCCACAGTACTTCTGGAACTACTGGCGCATTAGTTACATCGCGTTAACTACGACAAGTAGAATGTGCCAGTTCTGGTTTAGGTCTACATGCAGCCACTTTAAATTCAACAGGTTCACCTTTTTTCCATCTTATAGATGTCATCTCACTTCCGTCAGAGGTTGGTTTCGGTATCCCACAGTCAGACTTGCCATGCAGCTCAAGTCCAACAACTGCTTAGCGAGTTTTACTGCATGCATGTTCCTAAATCGTCTCTTACAGCGCACAGCTCTGTGCCTGCTGGCTCTGCCTCTGCTCAAGTTTGACAATAAAGCGAAGACCAGATTTTCATTTTAGACAGAATGCTTATAGCCATGTTTAAAATAAACTGTTTGTAGTTTGGTGATATGCTCTATGTATTTTCATTTGTGGCTATGTGTTACTGAACAAAGTTCTGGTTTTAATGCATTTTTCAGCTTGTAAACTTCTGCAGGAGCATGCCATGCAAATTAAAATATCCTCTTTTACCCCAAACTTCTCCCCACTCATTTTTTTTCCCGTTAGGACTCTGAGATTCTTGTATGCATAAAACATCATAAAAATAAGCTAAAAAAAACCCTTTAAACCAGGAGCTTGGCCAGTCTAACACTTATTTCACACCACCAATTGACTTACAGATTTATTAATTCATTATTTGTATATTGCCCATAGTTTATTAGGTGATTTACAGACCATCCATTCTCTGTATCAGCACTTTAATCTTAAAGGAATAGGTAGGTCTGTAATCAGGATATGAATTCTTCTTAGATTTTCCCAGCTTTCATGAGTGCTTTACTTGCTCCTTATTTTACACTGCTCATAGTCAACGGCCTGGCATTTTTTTTTTCCCTAAAAGGTGCTGATGAGGTGCTCAGGCTTCACCATTACACCTGGTTGCACTGCAAGACTGGTACACGCTTTTCACCGTGCTTAACTCCAGCTTCCATTTCTAACGTTCCCATAGGAAACCAGTCAAGTACAGTGAACTTTTAAAGCCGGGCAGAGCTAGAACCTGATATTACTCACAGTACGGAGCATCTTAAGGCTGTTCAACACTTCAAATGCCCAGACTGTGAGCAGACTGTCGGTTCTGTACCAAAGGGTAACATATATGTTCTTTCCCAAGTTAAAGAATAATTGCAACTGCACGAACCTATGGCAAAATCCATCTGATGGCCATCTTTAAAGAATTATGGAAGAGGTAACTATTTCTATAATTCACTGACTTCAAAAGTATGTTTGACATTATTGTCGGGAAAATTATGTTAACCATGGATTACTGTTACAATCAAAGTATGTAGTGAGAAGTCAAGAGGCTTAGTAGTAAATTTTCAAAGCGGTGCGTAGGGATTTACCCGTTTGACTCCCATTAACGTCAATAGGAGTCGCGCGGCTAAATCCCTGTACACTGCTTTGAAAACTGACCCCTTCGTGTTGATGGACCCCTCTCTAAGAAGTTCCAGATGACCATGTAAGAATAGTAAAGAACTATTTCAGCATGTGCCCTTGTTCATTATTGTTGTTTGTACACATCTGAAAGTATTTTAATTCCTATACGCAGTGCTGTTTCCAGCATTTAGTTTATAAAATATGGATTAAGACGGGCAAGTACTCAGTCATCTGGTGAAGCCATGCACATGCCGAGGTGTATATATGCATCAAAAAACGAGCATCCAATGCACCTTGTGGAGTTAATTTTTATCCACCTCAACTATATTATTTCACAAACACCAATTACGGCTGAAG